CACTAAAGCTGCGACTTGGAATGACTCGCTAAGAGACATACCTTCAGAATGAATATCATACAAAATTATTTGAAAATTTTGAACTTGAGAAATTACCGTTTGGGAGTCTACTATAATGAAGTCCAGAAATTTACCAACAATAAATTTCTTTGTGCCGGCATCATCTGTCTTGTATTTTTTCTCCAAAGAATCCCACAATTCTTTTGTTGTTTTTAGAGGACTGTAAACATTATACAGCATGTTGTCAAGGCCATTGAGGATGTAGTTTCTGCATAGGAAATCTGAATGTTTCCAAGCATCTACAGCGACAACAACTTGCCGATCACTTTTACCCTCTTTAAGTGTTGGAGCCTCTTCATGAAGAAACTGGGTCAAATTTAGAGTTGTAAGATAGAACAGCATCTTCTGCTGCCATCTCTTAAACTTAGTATCGTTAAATTTTTCCCCTTTTTCTCCATGATTTATTGGTACTTGAACATGGTTCTGGATAGGGACCGGTGTTGGTGTAACAATTAGAGTATCACTTCCAGTTGCAGTTTCAGTTATAGTAGCCACAATATCTTATTACAAAAATCAGAAAACAAACCACAAATTAATTTTCTAGTTACTAAAATCAGAAAATAAATTATAACACAAAATAATTTTATTTTCCTTGTTACTAAAACTAGAAAAATAAAATACCAAAATAATTTTCTGTAACACCAAATAATATTCTGCAATTGTTAATGACACCAGTATATTACTACTAATTGTCAAAGAAAAGAGACAGTGTATTACTACTATCTGTCAAATAGCATAAATCACTATTTATTTTTCCAACCAGAATATTAGTTTGAAAATACAAAAAATTAAATACAATGAAGATACCAAAAAAGAATCTGTCTTAAGATTGTTGGACAATCTTCACTGCATTTAAAAGATTTAATTCTATTGTGTACAAAACAACAACTAGAATTTAAAGAAAAAAAGAAAAGGAGAGAATTTGTTTGATTACAAAAATCAAACTCGAAATAAAAATAAATAAATAAAAACAGATTTTATTTTGTTACAAAAATAAAATTTAAATCTGATTTTAATAAATAAAAAAACACTGAAAATAAATTAAATAACTTACTTGATTTAATTTGTTCGAATTATTTTCTAATCAAGTCCAGTGTTTGACATTGTGTCCTTAAGACAGATTCGTCCTCTCCACGGTGCTTTCAGAATTTGGACGTCTATCTCCCAGGATAAAATGATCGACTACAAACAATAGCAGCACTACAAATTGTTTGCCTTACGAACACACTAAGTGTTTATACTCTTTCTCTTTCAGAAATAAAATGCAACAAAATGAAGAATAGAATAAGCAGAGGTGAAATACGAAATTTTTGAATGAATAACATCAAATGAGGGTGGTCCTATTTATAAATGTAAAGATGGCTCTTAGTTTTAAATTGAACAGGTATGATACCTGTTGGTTTTGAATTCAAATAGATTTGAATCTGTTATTTATAAATATGGCTCTTAGTTTTAAATTGAACAGGTATGATACCTGTTGGTTTTGAATTCAAATAGATTTGAATCTGTTAATAATTCAAACAGATAGCAAAAAACGGGAAGGACCCTGTTTGAGTGTGCCCAAAAAGAATAGTATTGGGCCGAACAAGCCCAACCCAACCACACACCCAAGCCCAAGCCCAGTCCGCCCAACCGGACAGCGGCGGCGATGGCGCGCGCGTGTGGCCCATAACCCCTCTCTCTAAAACACTTGGGTACCCCTTGGGGCACACCCCAAATACCAAACCCATGCCTTATAAACCCTTTCAAAACTTCCCACCAAATCAATGTGGGACAAGCCATTTTACAACCTTAAGGAATTCCACCAAAACTCCATTTCCATGGAGCACACTTTGGCTTCAATTTCCCATTCACTTGGTAATGGTTTTGAGCAATCAAATATACCACGTGGATCACAACGCAGCATAGAACGCGTTACCACTTTGACTCGAGTAAATCGACGCTCGGGGTCTACCTAAAAAATAGACCAAACTTGAAAAAAAATTCTAATTTTACCCAAAATTTTTCTACCATTTCCAACATAAATTTTATATGTGAATAACATTTTTCTACTAGGAGAGTAATGTTGCACGTTTTTAAAGGAGTTTGGGTACATGATGAGTGTTTTACTTTTTTCATAATTGGCAAACCAAGAGTGAGCAAGAAGTTTGAGAAGTTCAAATCTTGGGACTTGTCCTTGGAGATGGGCATAAGAAGAATGATTTCTAAAGTCAATAATTAAGAAGCCGTCAATAATGTCTTTAGGAAGGGCCAAATCAAAGGCATTATTTTGAACCCAACTTTTTCAACTGGATTTTATTTTATTTTATTTATTTATTTTTTTTTTCAGGAAAAACAAAACAAACAAAAAACACAAAAACACGACAAACATATACACTGATGAAATCTAACAGTCACATGTTAATGAGTTTCTAGGATCTATAACAATAACCAAATATGAAGAATGGGACCAAAAGCACACCATCTATCATTATATACAAGTTCCTTTTTTTTTGCTTTTCTTTTCTTTTTCTTTTGTGTATATCACTATAGGTATTATAAAGAAATAAACAAGACTACTTACCAACTAGAAGATAAAAGGCTGGAGGTGGGGTTGAAGAATGATAAATTAATCTTTTCCCCCTCTCCATACTTTGAAAAAAAAAAAAAAAAAAAAAATGAAAGAAAAAAAAAAAAAATCTAACTAAAATTCTCACCCATTAGCCCCCTCCAGCAAGAGAGCCTCTCTTTCTGTCCTGGTATATGAACCATCCATCATCTCCTAGAAACCTGGATTTAAATCTCTTTACACACACTAATCTCAAGTTCACAAGTGATGTGTTTCTCAACTTTTGCAGAGAACTCAAGTAGAATCTACCTTGGCTCGCACTTTTTAATCATTGAAGCCTCATCTGATTCTGGACTAGCCATGGAGGCAGGCTCGGTGGTGGAGTTAGCAGGCAAGACATCAATTGTTGTGTGCCAATCTGTATTATCAGTATTCATAGCAGAAGACATGGTAGAGTCAGTCGGGGCTAGCACACTGGCATTGAGGAATGGAGGTTGTTTCGGTGAAGGTATCGCACTTCCTTTAATCATTAACATCTTAACTACTTCAGACATGGATGGTCTTAATGTAGCCGAAGTTTGCGTGCATAGAAGCCCAATTTGAAGCACATTCGATGTTTCTTTGTTTTGGAAATCATCACCATTAAAGCTGGATTTAAAAACTTCGGTGATAGTACCATCCTTGTAATGCCTCCAAACCTAACATTGTAAGAATATAATAAGACATGAAAATTTACTTGTGAGCAAACCACTAAACTAAGAATGTGATCCAATCTGTAGGTTTTTTTAACTTTTAAATTTTTTTTTGGGAGGGGGGAAAAAAAATCCTAGATCAGTAACAATTTCATAGAGGAAATAGTGCCTGTAAGGTATGAGTCATCGAATTCAAAATAAATATATGGTCTAAAAAATGAAGAAACAGGTCATCTTAATGAGCAAATCACATTAAAAATTTACAAAGGAAAAATATGAATCTTACATTTTGTAGAACTGACGCAGAATCATGTGTAAAAGTATTGTTTTTTTTACCACATGCAATCTCAAGAGCCAGCACCCCAAAAGCATAAACATCTGCTTTCTCTGTTAGTTGTCCTCGAAGAAGATATTCAGGAGCCATATACCCCCTACATCAAAATTACCAGGAAAAAAAGAAATCATCCACTTTTGTAAGAGAATGTAATGTACCATATGTTCTTGATTCAGAAAATTTACTATCTTTTTTTGTTGTAAATTTACTCCATGGTTAAAAAGGTTAATTTTGTTAGTTCAATATCATAACATAAAATATAAACAATACTAACTAGTTAAAGAACAAGAATACAGATCAAAAGTGAGGATATCTTCTTACAGTGTGCCTGCAATTCCAGTACTAAGATGGGATTTATCAGCAGAAGCACATCGAACAAGCCCAAAATCAGCTATCTTTGGAGTAAGATTATCGTCAAGGAGGATGTTGCTGCTTTTGATGTCTCTGTGGATAATTTTCACTTTAGAACCTTCATGGAGAAATGCAAGCCCCTCTGCTATTCCCAATATGATGTTGAACCTCTGCCTCCAGCTTAGAATTTGAGTCTTGTTCTTATCTGCATGGAATAAAGGAGTGTCACCACTTAAAGATACAATTGAAAGAAGGTGCAAGGATATCTAAGGTTTTGCTTTATATGCTTTTGTCAATTATAATATAGCCAAAAACCCCCCCCCCCCAAAAAAAAAAAAAAAAGTTACAAGTTTGGGCTCATAGTCATGTGAAACTCCATAAGGGAGTAGGATTAATCTCATATAGACAAGTTGATGGTAAAAGCAGTCGTAGGTGAGAGTTTTTTGGAAACTCTTAAACATATAAGTAGATGAATGGCCAAAGGAAAGCATGCTTGCATGGTTTGTTATGTGCTATGATTATATGAAAACATTTGCAACTGTAATTTTGAATGAATTTAGTGATCCTTTAATTTGTGTAGTAATACAAGTTACACAATTGAGTTCAATTACACAAATCTAACGAAAACCAGTCCTCATGATACATGGGGTCTTCTAAATATCTGAAGAAATGTAAAAAAAGTGTATTGCTCCCATTTTATTGCAAAAAGATGAAAATAAGCCAAGAATTTAAACAATTAAGTATTTTCTCTTTAGCCAAAAGCAGCCAAAATTAAAAACCAAAGAGAGCCAAAAAATCATGAGCATGCTTATAAATAAAAAAATAAAAATTACAATAATTCCTTACCAAAGAGGATTTGATCAAGGCTTTTGTTGGGTACAAATTCATAAACAAGAAGGCAGTCTGGACCTTCAATGCTACAACCCAGAAGTCTTACAAGGTTCTTGTGTTGAATTCCACTGATCAAATTCACCTCATTGAAAAAGTCATCGACCCATTGTCTTGAATTAAAGAACAGCCTTTTCACAGCAACAATCCTCCCATCAGGGAAAGTCCCTTTGAATACAGAACTAGAGCCTCCTTGGCCTAGTTTATTTGAAGCACTGAAATAATCAGTTGCTTGCTCGAGCACTTCATACTTGAAATTCAAGTTCGACTTGTTTACAGCGGATGGAACCCCAGCAAGTTTCTTGCGCTCTAAAGCAGAAGAGAATGATCAAATTAGAACAAGTACATATTTATAAGAACTTGAAAATTATTTGGAATGAGATATGAGTTTCAGTGGTGTGAACCTTTTCTCCTCTTTGACAATCTGCCATAGCCAATATAAGCACCAAAAAGAGCTAGGACAAGAGAGGCACATCCTAATACAGCTACTCCGAAAATCCACGCACTGGACGTCCCTGATGCCAAAAACAACGAATTAAGGTTAAATTATGAAGATGTCAAACAAAAGTGGAAAACTAGCATGGAAGTTTCAATACAAGATGTTGAAAGAAAAGGATTATATCTAAAAAAAAAGAACAACGCCCTATAGTACACATTAATATGTTTGGGAGGGAAAAGATTTGGCACATACCTAACCTTTGTCGTATTTAAAGAAAATGATCTTTTATTTTTTAGTTATTTCTTACAGCGGTTAAATAAAAAAAAAAAAAATTAGCCATCTTGTTATATAGCCAATTTATCAGATATTACAACAATTTATGTGCAAAACTAAAATAAAACCAAGTAAATCCAATTTGCAGGCATAAAAAGAGGAAATAACAGAACCACCCACAATGCAAAAACATATACTATTTACCAATAAGAAAACTTCTTTTCGAAGTCCCGGATTAAGAGAAAAAGAAACTCAAGTCAACTTTTATTCTCAAGAGAATTTCTAATGTATGACAAATGAATCCTTTCACTCTAGTTTGAAAACCAAAAACCTAGTTGAGACATACCAATGATAGGAAATAGCACAACAGAACAACATCTATCAGAAAATATCCACAACTTTCATCCAAACTTCAAAAAACCATTTTTCATTTGTGGAGAGAATATTGCATTACTGATTGATTCCTTACCATTAAAACCATTCTTCTCTTCTTCCCAATTACCAAAGAATTTCTGAGAAGAGTACCTCAAATAACAACCAGCATTCAAAGCTCTCCCTTCAGCACCAGGCAAACACTTCTTGACATCTTTCCAAGCATCTTCCAAGCAAACCTGACACCCTGTGGAATTCAAAGTGTTCCAACACTGCCCCAACGCGTAAGCACCCGGCATCCCACCCTTCACCTCAGCCTCCCCCATCCCTCCCCTGCTCGTCGACATGGCTGTCTCCGTAACATTCCTCACAGCTTCCTTCACCCTCTCTGCAAACTCCAACTGTATATCCTGATCGCTCAGAAGTTTTGTGATGGGACTACACTTCACCAAATCATCCTTTTGATTGACATTCTCTTCAAAGAAATTGTAGTCATCGTATCGAACGAAACAACCCTCTAAGTAGATTCGGCCTCGAGCAGCAGGAAGGCAACGAGGGAGCTTTGTTCTAGCCTCAGCGAAACAGAGTTGGCAATCGGTTTCGGAGAGATCTTTGTGACATTGAGCAAATCCGAAAATAGGGGGTGATGGAGGAGGAGATTGGATTGAATAGTACCCCCATTGTTGTTTGGTGATGAGTTGGGAGAGATGTTCCATAACACTGACGAAATTTGTGAAGAAAATGCCGTTAGCTGTTAGATTGGTGGTTTGACACATGAGATTGGCTATGGAGGTTCGTGGGTCGGAAAGGGAGGGAGAGAAGAAGAAAATGGAGAAAAAGAGGAAGACCCATTTCAGATATTCAAGGATTATTGGGAACGAGAAACGCATTGAATCCAATTGGGTTGGGATGAGGTGTGCTCTGTTTCATAACCCAATAAAAAAACAGAGCATATGATTGACCACCGTGTCCTGTGCTCTGTTTCAACAATGTCTCATAAATAAATTAAAAAAACAATGAGATTGAGCTCAAAATCAAAATCAAAATCAAACAATCTCTCTCCTCTCTCCTCTCTCCCTCTCTCTTGGGGGATTGGAGAGTGAGGGAGGGAGGGTTGCTGGCTATGGGGAAGTTATAGGGTATGGGACATGGGAGGGGTGTGAAAGTTCTTTTCTGGCATGCATGGTATCACAAATTGTGGGTTTGATTTTGTCGGTTCTGTTTATTGAATTGTAAGAGAGAGAACGAGAAAGAGGAAGGAAGGAAGGAAGGAAGGAAGGAAGATGAATGCAGTGGATTTGGGGCTATTCTGTTGCTTTATTTAGACATCAATTGTCAAATAATAATACAAACAGCGAAGACAGCATGCCAATGCCATGAATCCATGTTGGAAGTCCTGTCTTAGTCCCTTTGCACCAACAGTGCCCCGCGGGAAAGTAGGGGTCCTCCACTTATTTATCTTATCTCATAATATACCTAAAATTTTCTTTACAGCAATACTCCGGCTAGGGTGTAAAAATGGCCCGTAGATCCATGGGTTGGCGAAAACTTGTTCGCGGTTTGAATAGACTTAGCCCATCATGTGAACTCGACCCACTGGCTAGTTCGACCTAGCCCAGCCCATGGCCCACCCCCTAACGGCTCTCTGGTCCCAATTGTCAAAAAAATAAATAAATAATTTATTTCAAAGGGTAATGTGACTGTTTATACATCAAAAGCCAATTTTTTTTTTTTACAAATTCACCCCCTCCTCCCAAACTGCTATAAATACCATCCCTCCCATTTTATTTCTCACAAACAATTCTTTCTCTCAAACTCTCAATCTCTCTCAATTCTCAACTCTCAACTTTCTCAAATAATTTGAAGTCTCATACCTAAGTGGCAATTGCAAATTGCGTAAGAAGAAACTTTTATTAGAAGAAGCTAATTTTTGTATTGTGTGGGGAAGTAGTTTGGAAATACTCTTTTGATCCACTGGGACGCTCGAGATCCTCAGCTAGTGACCTGAAAAAGAATGAGCACTCCGGTCAGGGGTGCCGGAATTAGCACTCTGACGAACAAGTCAGTGTATACTCTCTTGGTTACTTGTACCTTAAGTTAAGCATACTAGTTCTCACATACCTCTCTTTAGTTGTTGTTCTTCTATTTATATACGCTCCTAGTCCTCAGGATAGGGCCCACTATTAATCCGTGATGTGATTGCTCACTCCGCCCTTCTTTCATCGTATTCCGACTTCCAATCGGTCCCTCGTTCAACTGGCTTTATGGCCGACTAAGATATTCGGCATCCAAAACGTACAAGATGGGGGCGAGTATAATATGTATCGATTGTCTAAATGTGTACTCGGCCTATCTGCATCCCCTTTTATCCGGCTCTCACAATTGCCCCCCAAACACCCCACTAGCACTAGTTAGTCGGCGTATTTGGTTTTGAACTAGAAAAGTCAAAAATTCAGCGGCTAACCTTATTCCAATGTGTATCAGAATGCACACGTTTTCTGGTCATCATTACAAATTCCCGCCTCTTCGTACGCGTTCTTCATTTAATGTGATTTAAAACTTTGTCTCTTCGAGTGTATACTCTGAATACTCAAAGTTTCTGGCTCGCCTTCTAGTTCAACTCCTTCACTTCGCGACCTTTGTAATTTCCTCCTGTCTCTCATTATACCTTTTGCTTCTTGTAAGTTTTCTTCTCCTTCACTCCCAACACCATTTCCTTGTTTACTTTTAGTTTTGCATAATCCTTAGGCTGGCTGTGATGGCAAAAAATTTGAAAGAGCTCTTTTTTGTGGATCGAATTTTCGGCTTCCGACGCCATTATTCCATCCCCGGCGACGTCCATTTGTCACTCGTGGCAGACAACACCACTGATATGGAGAGGACCGATGAGAGTACAATCATCTTTCCTCTCCTATCAATTGCTGATGGCGGAGTCCATTTTTCCCTTCACCCATTTTTAAGAGCCGTCCTTCGACACTGGGGTCTAATCCCTTCCCAGCCTAACGTGAACTTTTTCTGCATCATAATGGGGATTACAGAGTTAAACCGTCGTCTTAAGATTAACTTAGGTACACTTGCAATTCGGCACTGTTATGCCTTAGCCAAGTCTACTGGCCAGCTGGGACGCTATTTTCCCAGGGCCAAAGATATCGATCATCATCTAGTGACTATGCTTGCCAGCTCTAGAAAGCATGTTGACGACGTGATGGTCGTTGTTCGAGGCAACTGCGAATTTGGCAAGGGTGAAGATCGCCTAGATTTTGTGCCAAGGTGAAAAGGCGAACCTGGTGGCCGTATAGCTCACTCTAGTTTCTCTGATTACCTTGTTTGTATTCGGCTTTCCTTCCATGTGTTTACCGTTTTGTTTATGCAGATGGCAATTTGAACAAAGTATTGGTTTCAGCTGACGACGCTGTACTTGTAGACATTAAAGTCGCTCTACAGTTCGTTGGCCGTCCAAACCTGCAAAAACAAGGGAGGGCGGCCCACATTCTTTTGCGATACACGCTGTCTTACTCTACGTTTTCAATGGTAGAGCACATTCCAATTCCGAGTGGTGAAGACCATCTTACAGCCCTCATCGTCCCCAGCTTCAAAAACATAAAGGAGGTTGGTTTAAAAGCCTCTGATTCGGAACAAAAGGAAGAACAAGCAGCCGATCTGGTCGCTGAGGACCTGAACTAGTCGGAAACTGAGATAGACGAATTCAATTCGTTTGACCCTCCGCCCGCTTCAGGCCAAGGGGACTTTTTTGAAGACATTTTTACAAACTTAGGGGACTTGCCCGGCTTTTACCCTGACAACATGGCCGGCGAGTCGCTCTCTTAATTGGCCAAATAGAGAAATGTCGAGAGGATAGCTGCCCGAAGAAGAGCTGAAGCTAATCGAAACCAACCTCCGCCCCCTCCACCTGACGCTAGGGAAGAAACTCCACCCGTTCCTGTCGAAGAGGTGGTTCAGAATGAAATGGCTGAAACAGAAACTGTTGTCGATCAACAGGAGGGTCAAGTGAAGGAGTACAAAGGTGAAAAGCGCCCAGCCGATCACGAAACCGTTTATTCGGAAGACCCAGTGGACAAACGGCCACGCTTGGAAGAATCGAACTGGGTTGCGCCGTTCATAGTGCAACCAAAGATAAAAACATACCGGTTGGCTCCGACTCATCGGCTATAAGAGACCTGACTATGGCCTTGAGCCTGGCTTCCTCCATTTCTTTGCCAGCTGACAAAGCAACTTTTAGGGCGGAGGCCGATCTGCTGGCTATCGCGTTAGCCGCTCAATCGGCGATATTGGTACGTAGTCCTTTACAGTTTTGCAAGGCTAAACAGAAGTTTCTATATTAGCTTACCGGTCCTTTCTTTTGCAGGTGGCGGGGAGAATAGTCGAGATTGGACGTCGCCAATACGATGCAATCGAACAAATCGGCTTTCTTACAGCCGAATTGGAAAAAGAGAAGGGGAGAACAGCTGAGGCCTCTCTTCGAGCCGAGTCTGAGGCCGTGAAAGTAGTGGAAGAGGGAGCTAGGGCCGATACAGAAGTAAATGAGGCCAGGACTACTGTCGCACTAAAAGTGGCTGCTGAGGAAAAGGCGAAAGCGAATGAAGAAACGCTCAAACTGGCCAACAAGATGATTGCCAAGCTGGAGGCCGACCTGGAAAAGTCGAGGCAGGCAAAGGCAAACGCTGAGTCTGCACTTTCCGAGTCGTTCCAGGCTGGCAAGAATGCGGCCTTGGGGGACTACGTCGAAGAAGTGCCGAAATTCGAAAATAAGGGGTTCAAACACGGCTAGCTCAAAGCCTTGGCTGCCGCTAACATGATATCCGAACAGCCGATTCCGTATGAGCAGGTAGACGTTGAGCCGCTGGAGTCTGACCCCGAAGACAGTTGAATATTTTCCATTTTGCTTTTGGTATTAAGCGTATGTAGATTTTGTTGTGTGTATTAGGTTTTTGTTTTTGATTGTTCATTTTTGTGAGAAGCTGATATAGGGTAGTTTTCATTTGTAAAATGAATTCTATTTGTGCTCAATTTACGAATGAAAATTATTTTTGCTATTTGCGCGCAGCTTATGAATGGAAATTATTTTTGCCTTTTGTGCTCAATGAATGTGCTTGTTAGCAGCAAAGTAAGATGTAAAATCATGAAATGAATGAAACAAGCTGCCGAATTAAAAATAACTGTAAAGTGCTGCAGCTTAGCCGAACATATTAGTGAATGTGCCCTTGCCGCAGCAGGTTAATGAACCAGTCAGACTAATGAACCTAGACAGTCTGAAAACAGCAGTTCAGGAATTTACTGGGGCACAATGGTAATTCGGCTGAGCTCTGATAGTTTCGCCAAATAGATTGATGAATCTGCCCTTGCCCCAGCAAGTTAATGAACCCAGACTAAAAATGGCAGTTCAGGAATTTGCTGGGGCACAATGGAAATTCGGCTGAGCTCTGATAGTTACGCCGAGTAGATTAATGAATCTACCCTTGCCCCAGCAAGTTGATGAACCCAGACATACTGAACACGGCAGTTACAGGAATTTGCTGAGGCACAATGGAAATTCAGCTGAGCTCTGATAGTTACGCCGAATATATTAATGAATCTGCCCTTGCCCTAGCAAGTTGATGAACCCAGACAGACTGAACACGGCAGTTACAGGAATTTGCTAGGGCACAATGGAAATTCGGCTGAGCTCTGATAGTTACGCTGAATAGATTAATAAATCTGCCTTTGCCCCAGCAAGTTGATGAACCCAGACAGATTGAACATGGTAGTTACAGGAATTTGCTGGGGCACAATGGTAACTCGGCTGAGCTCTGATAGTTATGTCGAATAGATTGATGAATCTTCCATTGCCCCAGCAAGTTAATGAACCCAGACAGATTGAAAATGTCAGTTTAGGAATTTGCTGGGGCACAATGCAAATTTGGATGAGCTATGATAGTTACGCCAAATAGATTGATGAATTTACCCTTGCACCAACCAGTACTTGAACTAGGACGCCGAAAATAGTTAGTTCGTGGCGTGAGGCTTTTGAAGTTTAGCATTAATGATATCGCCTCGAGGGTGCTGCCCCCGTAAGGAATAAATGGGGCAAGTGCTTCGTGCACGTAGGTCCTATTAATGTGCTCAGACTTAACAACTCAATCTAGTCCGTTGAGGAAGGTTAGACAAGCACGAATGTCAAATAGGCTATTCTTCAACAGCAAATGAGAGGGGAGAACATTGGCTGAGCTGGAAGGAGAGATGAATCGAAGTAGCGAACCTATGCGCACGAGAAGCAGGACTTCGGTGGAGCGGGAGAGATGCTAGTCCCCTCGTTGTCGAAGTAGGTCGCTCAGGAAGGAAAAACAGCAACGGGGCAAATCCCCTCAACCCCGCTCCGGAAGAGAA